GCAGGAAGTCTGAACCTGTTTGGATCGTACCAAATGAAATCTTGATTTGCTGTTAATTTGGAATAGTACAAATATATAAGGGAGAGGAGTGGGGGGTATATTCTCCAAACTTTCACTTTTAATCCCTCATAACATCCAGTCAGTCCCCCCTCCAGTGAAGAATGGTTTGGCCCAAAATAAACCTTCCTTAAAGGGGACCTATCATGCAAAATGCACTTTTGTACGTCTTTTATACATGAATATGTGTCCCAGGTGTTCCAGGGAACTCACCAAGTGTCAGAAAACACAACCCTCTCTATTTTCCTCCATACCCAAATCTCTAAAAAAGGGGCTGCAACGGATCTGATAAAAACTGATCCAGATTTGAACACTGTCCTGACGTCAGGACGGTGGCGCTACGGCTATTTGGCCAACTCTCCACCTATCAGGGGAATGTGGGGTTGGGCCACGGCCGGCCATTGCCGCTCGAAAGCGCTGGAGACACTGTAGTACATATGCCAGGCCTGTAAGTGGCGCTGTAGTCTGCCACAAAAGCAGCGAAGAAGACTTCCCACCCATAGTTACCATGGTTACCCTTCTGTTTATTCTCCGCTGTGGCTTTTTTTCTCCCTCCCCGAGGCAAGTGTTTGCTCCCGCTGCAATGCAATCCCTCCCCGTCGAGGCAAGCACTGTAATTCTCTCCGGTTAGTCCACCAGCAGATGACAAACACCCACCTCTCCGCCTCTTCCAAGGAACGAGGGGACCGTGCGGCAGAGTTTCAGTTTCAGTTTCTTTCGCCGGTCAAGATGTCCGTTAAAGTTTAAATCTTCCGGACAAAATTAGAAAAGTGCCGGTCAAAGGTCTTCTTTGTTATTTATTGAGCTTTAAAACAAATGAATAACGACTCTATATAATAAAACATGGAGGACGGAGATCTCTTTTTCTCCCCCTCTTCTGACAGCCCAGCAGCTGATCAGAGCACGTCTCCCCTCTCCTGCAGGGGGGCGTGGTCAGCAGAATCAGACCCGTAGAGCACATAGAGCGAAATGAGGCATGGCTAAAATGCATGATCTGTTTGGTATTTTGAAAACAGAAACGTATAAATATACCTTATATAGGTATGGCCCTACAATATATCATTTAAATATAGCATGATAGGTCCACTTTAAGTTTCATTTATTGAGAACAGGATCTCATTAACATAGTATAAAAGTGTGTCTTATATCAAATAAATACATTTTAAATAAGAGTTAAAGGGCCCATGTCATGGCCATTTCCACTGATCATAATTACATTGTTGAGGTATACTAAAATAGATTTATACTGTGCAATTTTCCAAACTCACATTGGTTTCGCATACAGCATCTCTGTCAAGCATGTGTATTCAGCAGTATTCACTTTCTCCACTAAACGACTCGTTGGAGCTCTTGCCCCCCCCTCCCTGTGAGCCTAGTGTGCTCCGATTGGTCAGCTCGGCCACTCGTTCTGATTAGTCAACCACCAGAGAGGCTGCGCCCATGTCAGTGCTTTTCCCGGCTGCTCTCAGCGTAACATCAGTCTTATCATGGCGTCGGTACAGCGGTATATTTTATATACATATATATTTTTAACTGTTGTTATAGAAGAGTGTGACGGCCCCAGGGCCTTTGTCTTACGATGGGGTGGAGCTGAAGAGGCTAATCAGCACGATCACGGACACCTCCGGACACTACGGCCCCAGTCTCTCTCCAAAGCGGCTGCAGGAAGACTAACTCTGCGATCCTCTCAACCACCTGTCTCTGCATTTACCACAATAAATGTGCCGTGGTTTTGTAAACTCGTGTATGTCTCCTTGTCTTTCCGTTGTGGCCTACGAGCTACTCTCATAACAAAGAGTAAGTTATTTTTACCCGTTATAAACTACTACTGTTTGATGAGAAATCAAATCATGGTTTGCTATATATGAATTCAGGGAAGAAAGGATAGGCCTACTAAGTATTTCCATTAAACTTTATTTTTAGAAATGTACAAAATGAACATAAATATACATATATACACACGGTATATCATCCATTCCTCCTCCTCTTGCCTGCGCACAGCCGGTGCGGTGCGGTGCCTTTTAGCACGAGGCCTCAGTAGTAGTAGAATCCCTTCCCCGTCATGGATTGTCCGCCAGGATCTGGCTGGACGAAATCAAATGCAAATCACAAAATATTAGAGAAACTTAGTTGTTTTAGATTCGTTAGTAGTAGTTGTGTAATGAACAGCTTGCCTGCTAATATGCTAACCTAGCTTTGTTTACCTTGGTAGCTAACACGATATGAACGTTAGCTTGGAGGAAAGGCAACTATAATGCAGTGTAATAAAACTACTATGAACAAAAGCTAGTGGTTCATATTAGGCTAGCAATAACGTGTTTATAATTGCAATCGTATACGGGTATTCTGCTACCATACAATGTAACTTGCATGAATACATTGTTTTGCGCTAGCATACAGCTAGCCTCGTTAGCTACATGCAGTATATGTACGGTCACAATGTACGGTAAACCGGAGTATACTGTATGAGTATTCCGTGTGTGTGACTGCAGACATTCTCCTGCCATGACAAACATGTAAGGCCATCTGCTGACATTGTAGTTGATATATTTAAACGCTAGCAACGTAGCATCACAAAAATGTTTTTCTGACCAAAACTAGCTCTAGCTCCGTGTGTTAGATCGCTACGCCAGCTATAATGTAATTACGTTTCGCGACTGACCGGCAAATCACCCGCAGTATACTGTCAATAGGTATTTTGTGTGTGAATGCAGACATTCTCCTGCTATGAGATACATGTATGCAAGGCCATCTGCTGATATTAGAGTTGATATATGGAAACTCTAGCAACTTAGTTAGCACAGTTAGCACTGTGTCAATGGCTTAGCAGTCCAACACAGTTTACACATTTAAACAGTCTTGTTTGATAAATACACAAATAACAATGCAAACTTACAGGTTGTATACCCAGATCTTCCCCTGCTCCAAACGGTCCAAACAAGCTGTGCATATCCGGCCTCAAACTGGGCAATGTTTGGAAGCTTTCGTCTGTGAAATGCCGGTTCTTCGAACCTCTGGAGGAGGAACACGCCGCTGCTGGTGTGGCCATAGCTCTTCGGGATTGGTCCATTTCGTTCCGGGTACCGCATGACATCATGCGGTACCCGGAAGAATCAAATGGGCAGTGACGTATCTCCAACGAGGCGTTTTGGAGAGGTATTTTCTGTGTTAGAGTTTTACTCGCTACAGGGTGTACTTTGAGGGTTTTGACTCTGCACACCGTTTACATGCATAAAAACCTTCATAACACACAAGGGGACGGGTAATAACCGGAAAAGCATGACATGGGAGCTTTAAATAAATTATTAAATACATGGGAGTAAAGATTATGATGAAATATTTATTTCTTATAATTTTTGTTAAATTGAATGGCATTTTATTTTGTATTATCTGTCAGCTTCAGGCTTGCTGTTTTTGTTTATGAATAATAAATCACACCAGATAAATACTAAAGTAAACAAAATAAATGACTGGGGGAACATTGAATAGGGGAACGTTTTAATTAGTTATTACGTTATAATTAGGGCTGTCAAGTTAACGCGTTAATAACGCGTTAACGCAAAAAAAAATTATTAATAATACTAATTATTTTAACGCGATTAACGCATGTGTATTTTTTGTCCTCGGCCGCCGTAGTTTCAGAGCGCATCGAGTGTAAAATACCATCGACAAGCTGATGCTGACAGCCCCGCTCCTGCCGCCCGCTTGTGGCAGACCACACTTCCACGCTCACTGGCAGGCCCGGACTGGCCATCGGGAGGACCGGGAGGGAGTGTGTATGTGTGGCGCGACTCGCGCGAGCGAGGCACACCTTACGTGTTGTTGTTGTTAGCATCTGGTGCTAGCTAGCTGCGCTAACGGATATAAGGAGCTGTTTCAATGACATTTCGCCGACAACTGCGCCGAGCACTTGACTTTATGCAGGTAGCCAGACAGTGTGACATTGTACGGAAAGTCAGCACACTCAGCACGGATAGTACGCGCAACATTATTGCAGCGTCCAGGCAGCTCCCATTCGAGCATATATGCCTTGAGCTGCACATAGCTCAACGATCCATCACAGTGTCTGTCTGTCTACACACACAGCACACACACACACACACACACACACACACACACACACACACACACACACACACACACACACACACACACACACACACACACACACACACACACACACACACACACACACACACACACACACACACACACACACACACACACACACACACAGTATTGTATGAGAGAGGTTCCAGGTTGAATTGAGGCGAATATTTGTAATGTTCAGAGGTTGTTGTGTTTAATATTCATGAGAATATTTGTCATTGTTCAAATGATAATAAACAAACATATAAAGCATATTTGTCCACTCATATGTTGATAAGAGTATTAAAAACTTGAAAGATATCCCTCTAAGGTACATTTAGAACAGATAAAAAATGTGCGATTAATTTGCGATTAATCGCGATTAACTATGGGCAATCGTGCGATTAATCGCGATTAAATATTTTAATCGACTGACAGCCCTAGTTATAATACATTAAAAAAATAAAGTTAAATGACAAAAACACATTTCAAATACATGATAGTTATTGTTAGTTACAGGTTTTTTTTCTGATTCTGGATTGTTGAACATTGACCGATTCATAAACACACACATCTCAACTGCAGGTTCTTTATTAATGTAAAGTTAATTAAACTAATAACTTCAAACACAAGCTATCAAAAACAGGGAGATAAATTATTAAATACAAAAAGTCAGAATTTTGAGAAAAAATTCAACATTTTGAGATTTTAAAAAATAATCAACATTTTTTAATTTTTTGAAAAAGTCAACATTTCGAAGTTTGAGATTTCAAGGAAAAAATTCATTTGCAGAACTCCACTTCAGATCTTCTCAGGCACTGCCATTTTGATGATTCTGTTTCCTTTTATTTCAGCCTCCACTGAGAGCGGTATTCTTTCAAGGAGGTCATCACGAAAGCCTTTCTTCAGTTGGAAGTCGAGCGTGTTCGCCAGAAGTCGAGACGCCACGACGAGTGTGTGCAGCTTCGTGTCTAAATCCACCTCCAGTTGAGTCTCCTTCAGCGTGGCTTTCATGATCCCTCTAATCTTGAGGGTCACTTTCCGGATGCTGACACTTTGAACCTGCATGAAGACACGTTAACGGTCAATGTTCAGGACGTGAGAAAACATCAAATAAAGTCTTCAGATTAATGTGAGGAACATTTTATTTTGGGGGCTATTTAGCTTCAATATGATGTCTTCTGTGGAAATATAATTTTAAACAACACCTCTTTTCAGGTTGGCCTTGCATCAGCAACATCACCTTTTCATTTGATTTCTAATCTTATTTTCTTATTTATTCATTTCATCTTATGTCGTCCTTTATTTTACCGAGAGGGAACATTACTTATTTTATTGTATTTTATTATCACAGTCAGAATTTTGAAGAAAAAGTCAAAATGTTGCGATATTGAGAAAAAAGTCAGAATTTTTAGATTTTAAGAAAAAAGTCTCAATTTTGCGATTTTGAGAAAAAAGTCAGAATTTTGAGATTTTGACAAAGAAGTCAGAATTTTGAGATCTTGAGAAAAAAGTCTACATTTTGTGATTTTGAGGAAAAAATTACATTTTGAGGAACTAAGTTGAGTTGAGAGACACTTTCCCATAGTACACCTCTGTCAAGGGGTGAACTCAGAGGCATGAACTCAAATGCACAACTCAGACTCAGACTCAGGTGGTTTTCAAAAATAAAGACTTTACTGGACTTTAACACAGTAAAAACACAGGAAACACAAAATCACTCTTTCGAGGAAAAACTAATAGCAATCATCAGGAGCATGAAAACAGAATACGACCATGGAGCAGGCTTGAATGTAGTCATGAATGAAAACGAACTGGCACTGGACAGGTGGGGACTAACACAATATATACACAAGGTGAGGGACACAGGTGGAAACAATCAGGGCGGGGTAAACAATCACGAACGCAGGAGACACATAGGGGCGGTGAGCAAGGAGTCCTGAAACGAGAGGGAGAATTACTTTTCAAAATAAGACAGAAGGCACAGGACAAAGGGACATGACAAAACTAATATAAAGAATCAACTTTCCTAATTAGTTTCCGAGACATGACAACCTCTGGATTCTTGTTCTTAAGAAGAAGGACCTCTCCGACTGAAAGGTCTTTGCTCTGCTTGGTGGCCTCGTCCCACATGGTGACGCTGATTCGTCATCTTCTCCTTCACCTTCACTTTTTTGACGGGATTGAAGTTTTTGATAAACTTAAAGGGGACCTATCATGCAAAATGCACTTTTGTACGTCTTTTATACATGAATATGTGTCCCCGGTGTTCCAGGGAACTCACCAAGTGTCAGAAAACACAACCCTCTCTATTTTCCTCCATACCCAAATCTCTAAAAAAGAGGCTGCAACGGATCTGATAAAAACTGATCCAGATTTGAACACTGTCCTGACGTCAGGACAGTGGCGCTACGGCTATTGGGCCAACTCCACCAATCAGGAGGAGACAGCCACGGCCATTGCCGTTCGAAAGAGCTGGAGACGCTGTAGTACATATGCCAGGCCTGTAGATGGTGCTGTTCTCACTGAATCTGCCCTTGCAAAAACAGAGCTAAATAAGTGCAAATTGAGCGAAATGAGGCATGGCTAAAATGCATGATCTGTTTGGTATTTTGAAGAAAAAAAAGTATAAATATGCCTTATATAGGTATGGTCCTACACTATATTATTCAAATATAGCATGATAGGTCCACTTTAAGAAATAAGATTTACTAGGGCTGTCAAGTTAACGCCTTAATAACGCGTTAACGCAATTTTTTTTTTAAGGCCACTAATTATTTTAACGTGCGATTAACGCATGTGTATTTGTCCTTGGCCCGCCCCGTAGTTTCAGAGCCGAAATGTAAGGTTTTAGCACTAGTATCCTGTTAGTTGTTCTGTTTTTAGTGTTTGTCTATCTGTCTTATTTTGATATTGACTCTACTCTATCTTTCCAGGTGTCTGCACTTCCTGTCATTGTGTGTCACCGGTCAGACTGATTGTTGTTCCCGCCCCTGATTGTGTCCACCTGTGCCTCATTACCTAATGTGTGTGTGGGTGTATATATAGTCCTTCTCTCCCTTTGTCTTGTGTTGGTTCGTCTTGTCTCATCGTCAGATCCATGCCTGTTACCGGAGACCTGATATCATTACCTAGTCGAACCTAGAGATTCTATGGAATGTCCTAGTAGATCCTAGAAGACATATTGAAAAGCTTTGTGATCTTAATAATAAAGCATATTACAAAGCAACGGAATCGAGCATCTGAGTTCTTAAGAGCCCTTCGTGTCAGTACCAACCAACCAAACAAGATGGACTCAGCCGATTCTACAACAGTAAGAACGGCCCTGCAGGCGCAGGGTACACTCCTTCATCAACATGAGGGACAGCTGTCAGCTATTAACCAAGGGGTCCAGGATTTACATGCTCGTCAAGACAACTTTCAAGCTACGGTGTCAACAGAAATAAATCTACTGGCTGAAAAGATGCGTGACATACTGACTCACCTCGTGGCAAATCCTGGTGTTCCTGCGGCAGAGTTTTCCGGTTCAGCGAGGGTCGGGTCTGCTGATATCCCCGTTCAAGTACCCATGCATTCGCCTACGATCCGCCTCGCTTCGCCGGAGAAATTCTCCGGAGACTCTGGAAACTGTCGTCCCTTCCTGGTACAGCGCGATCTCCACTTCAAACACCAGCCCGCAGCATTTCCCACCGATCAAGCTAAGGTAGCTTTTATTGTGTCTCATCTGACGGGTAGAGCGGAAGCCTGGGCAACAGCGGAGTGGTCCCGGTACTCGCCTGTTTGTCAGTCAGTAAGACTGTTCTTGGATACCATGAGCAAGATTTTCGATCAGACATCACCCGGGAGAGAGTCAGCGAGAGCCCTGGTGAACATTAAGCAGCGGCAGAGGAGAGTGGCGGATTACGCAATTGATTTCCGTACTCTGGCAGCGGAGAGTGGGTGGAACTCGGCGGCTCTCTTTGATGCTTTCCTGCATGGGTTAGCGGATCCCATAAAGGATCAGTTAGCTCCATTACAGCTGCCTGAAGATTTGGACTCGCTCATCGCCATGGCTATCCGGGTTGATCAACGTCTAGCTGATAGACAGCGGGAAAAGGGAAGGAATACAGTATCCACTCCACCTTTCAGACGGGAGTTACCGAGGGAATACTACACTTGGCAGAGGAATTCCCAGACTTCATCTCCAGAGCGACCAGCGCTCCCTATCGCCGCGGAGGAACAGATGCAGCTCGGAAGAGCCAGACTCACGCCGGAGGAGCGTCAGCGCCGTCTACGGGAGCGGCGGTGCTTCTACTGCGGCCAGTAGGGTCATGTTTCGGCAGCCTGTTCGGCAAAAGATCAGGCTCATCAGCAGGAAGGAAGACGCTGGTGAGCCGAGTGACTTCGTTCAACTCTCCAGTCAGAAAATTAATGCAGGTACAAATCAAACTTGGGGATAAGACTATGACTCAGGATGCATTAGTCGATTCTGGGGCTGATGAGAGCTTGTTAGACTGGGAGTTGGCAAAAAGTTTGAATTTAAAGGTTGTACTTTTAGATCAGCCCTTAGAGGCTAGTGCTTTGGACGGCCGCCTTTTATGTACAGTTACTCATCGCACTGAGCCCATGGTATTAGTCATAGATCAGGAACATCGAGAGCAAATTAGTTTTCATTTATTTAACTCTGCTCAACATCCTCTCATTTTGGGGTACCCTTGGCTTGTTAAACACAAGCCTCACGTTGACTGGCAGACAGGAAAGGTGAAAGGGTGGGGGGTTGAGTGCTCTCGTTCATGTTTAACCAGTGAAACAGGGTTGAGTAACAGATCTAGTAACTTTAAGCAGGGGTCAGGTAATAACAGTGACACTTTTTCTAAACCTTCTAACTTTCCTGACTTGTCTAAAGTTCCTGGGTGCTATTCAGACATTAAGGAGGTGTTTAACAAAACACGAGCTACTTCATTGCCTCCCCATAGACCGTACGATTGTCCCATAGAACTTCTGTCGGGCTCTACTATTCCCAAGGGACGGCTGTACTCTCTTTCTGGGCCAGAAAGGGAGGCCATGAAGGAATATATCGATTCTTCACTCAAAACTGGTTTGATTCGGACATCTTCATCCCCAGCAGCGGCAGGTTTCTTTTTCGTGGGAAAAAGGATGGGACATTGAGGCCCTGTATTGATTATAGTCCGCTAAATCAGATCACGGTTAAGAACAGATATCCCCTTCCACTCATCTCTACGGCATTTGAACTGTTACAAGGAGCTAAGATATTCACCAAGCTTGACTTAAGGAATGCTTATCACCTTGTGCGCATCCGGGAGGGGGATGAGTGGAAAACAGGTTTCAATACACCTACGGGACATTACGAATATTTGGTGATGCCTTTTGGACTTTGTAATGCACCTGCTGTTTTCCAAGCTCTCATTAATGATGTGTTAAGAGATTTCCTGAATGTTTTCTGTTTTGTATATCTCGATGATATTCTCATCTTTTCTCCAGATGAGAATACTCATGTTAACCATGTTCACCTTGTTCTTCAAAGACTCCTGGCTAATCATTTGTTTGTGAAAGCCGAAAAATGTGAGTTTCATGTCAACTCAGTGTCATTTTTGGGCTTTGTGATTTCCCCTAACAAGATGGAAATGGACCCAGCAAAGGTCAGCGACGTGGCAAATTGGCCTACGCCAAACTCCAGAAAGAAGGTTCAGCAATTCTTGGGGTTTGCTAACTTTTACAGACGTTTCATACACAATTTCAGTGCCATTGCCTCTCCTCTCCATTCCCTTACCTCTCCCCATGTTCAGTTTGTGTGGAATCCACAGGCAGAGAAATCCTTCATGGATCTGAAGAGGAGGTTCACCACAGCTCCTATCCTGACTGTACCTGATCGCAACCGA